GAAGTCTACAGTATCTTACCTGAATTAGACTGGTATGTTTTAGTCTGACTGCACTGTGTGGCTGGACTGTCTACAAAAATACAGATCACATCAAGTTCAGTATCAACAAATCCTCTGTACTGAAGAGCTTGCAGAGGGGATGCCTCGATCTCAACTGTGTCTTAGGGTAGAGGGGGGCCCACCAACCAAATATGACACGTCTTTGTGCGGGCCGGGTATCTTTCTAAGAGGAGGAATAAAAACACATTCTTAACTCTTGATGGACGTTTGTAAGAAATCATTCTGGACCATTTCTATTATTCCTTCAACATGAAACCTGAACACAGTGCAAAGAGCTGGAGTACTCAAATTATGAAAGAGTGAAAAAATGAGAGGGTTTTGTGTGACAGTGTTATGTACATTAAAGCTGTCTGCACTGGATGGGTGACATTGTAATACTCTCTAGTCTGTATGAAGTGTTATTCATCAGAAACCAGTATACACTGTAAATCTAAGACTCTGTTTCACGTCTTTAGTTCACATATTCTTTTCCTTCTGTATTCTGGGCTGCACTTATTACTGTATCTCAATATGAGCTCCTGTCAAACAGTCTTATACGTGGTACCTCACTGGGCCAATAAAGCCCAGGCTGAGCTTGTGTCACCTGTATATGAACCTCCCCTGATTATTTGTGGAAACTGAGCTGCAGAAGGTCCTCCAGGGCCCCTCTGCAGTGTTGTGGACTTAAGTTTGACCCTCACGACCTCCTGCTTTCTGTCTCCTGGCTGTTTTCTGTCTTTCTGATTCTCTTCTCTGCTGTCTGGTCGGAGGGTTTGGACCTGTGTGTGTTTTAAAGTGTGTGAAACCTCCAGCTCTGTAGAAATGCTGTGGTTGGACTGACGACTTCCTCTTTTAATACAGGGCCAGCTAAGAGTCAGGCTGCTTTTTATAGATGTACAGATCTGCTGTGGCTTCGCTGTGTCACGCAGCGGCTTTAGAGTGTGAACACAGCCCCTGTGATGTGTTCATGTAATTGGTGGATATTTATCATGGTGGAGATCAGCTTCGGTAATGAAACAAACACTGCTGCTCGCTCGTCTGGGTAAACATCAATGCACTCTCGTTCCATTAAACACATAAATACGCCCAGTAAAAACAGCTCCACCCTGGTAGCTCAGTGTCACTTTCTGTTCTAACTGTGTGTGGAGTTGCGAAGCTTTACTGCTGAAATCACTCAAGGCTCTGTCAACCGATACCACAAACTGTCTTGTTCTAAAACTTCCTTTTTCTCTCACAAAACTCTATATGAAACCATGTTATCATGCCTGCTTTACCAGCAAAGTGACGCTTAATTTTTAGGTGGTGTCCATTATAATTAACATCAACCTTGTAAGGCCCTTATAAAGGCTTAGCAATCAGGGTTGGGTAGTAATGGAATAACAGCAATATGGAAAATATGACTGCATTCCATTACAGTTACAGTAAACAAGACCACAGTCAGATCACAGGTGCATTATAAAAGCAGGGTGATTACCAGCCAGACATCATTCAAGCCACATACAATCAATAGAAGCTTTAATTATATATTTTGCTTTTATTGGTATGGGCACCTAATTCTTTCTTTCATAGCTTTCAAGCGATGGGTGCACAAATTTTATTACGTGTAAATTTTCACTATTTGTAATGACGGAAAGCAACTCCCACTTAGTTTTCATTTGAAATTAAAGCCTTTTTAAACTCAGACATGTTTGTTTCTGTGGGCTGCTCAAACTGCTGAGGGCTTAGGGACCATCTACAAATGGCAAGTCCAGTCTGTCCCGGTAGGCAGACGAACTAGACGCTCGCGGAAATAAAAAAGGGGGTTTTAGTAACAAACGGACAAACCAAAGGAGTAGTCACTAAACCAGGCCAGGTCAGAACCACGTGGGAAATAGACAGACACATGGAGAACCAGAGAACAAAGTAAATAAACAAACAAGAGTCAAAGGCCGGAGGAACAAACACTACAAAACCAAAGACCAAGGGAGAATCCAAAAGAGCAAACCAGGGACAAAAAAGGTCAAATAACCTGAGATAAAAACAGGAAAAACGCTCAGTGAGCAAAAGTCTAAAGGCAATACTTCACAAAGAGCAACTGACACTGAACAGCTACACACTTAAACATGGTTCTTTAAGGGTTCTTTAGGAAGGAAAATGATTCTATATAGAACCATGAACACTCAAAGAACCATTTGCATGATTACAGGGTTCTCTGCATGGTGAAATGGTTCTTCAGATTGACAGAGAATGTGCTGTAGATGGTTCTATATTGAAACTTTTTTGAAAAGGGTTCTATGTAGCACCCAAAAGGGTTCTTCTATCGTAACAGCTTGACATCGTAACGAAGCTTGACATCGTAACAATAGCAAAACCTTTTTTGGTGCTGTACAGAACCCTTTTCAAAAAGGTCAAGCTCAAAATAAACGACAATAATAAGATAGTAAGACATTACACTTCATAAGCTTTTGCACAATTTTTTTATATGAAGACATCCAGACAATTAGCAAATACTGGCTTAGGCCTTGATATGAGCCATACATCAGTGTAATATCAGCCACCTGAAGGTGTTACCACTATCAGTTTTCAAAATTATGAAGTATAATAAGAGAGATATTTCAGTGTGTTTGTCCTGAAATGAACCGAGTTGAATCAGAATGTGTTTTGTCACCTCCCAGCCTTTCAGTCTCTCGCAGTTTCACAGTAATTATCTGAGGTTTCACTGGGTAGACGGTCGGTTAGTCTGTTTACTAAAGATGGTTTCTTAAACTTCCTCAAAGTACATTCAGTGTTAGACACACAGACCTCACTGCATTTCAGAAGACAGAACCTCATTTCCATATTCATGTTTCATGTTGTCTGAGTAAACAAACTAACAAACCACTTTATCTCCAGATCAGCAGCCAGCTGCACCAGCTGCACTTGAGTTTGATTGAGTTAGCATGTAAAGCGTTGTATAGAAATGATGCCCAATGTCCTTTCAAGCAGAGGGTTGGGGGTTCAATGCCCTCCTAAGCTGGCATGAAGCTTGTATTACATGTTTAGCAAAATAATATGGATCATGGTTCCCCTCCCCACCCATCAAGGAGAGAGAGCGCTCAGCTCAGAGACCCTCCCTGATACCATGTTTCACTCGCAATTGCATCACTTGAGAGTGCAGTATGGTTTCCAGTTCACACTGACTTTATGAATCTAATCTAAGCTGCTAGTCACTTGTAAATGAGAGATCCGGAAATGTTTGCTGAAGGATAAACTATTTTGTTTACAGTGGGTGTGTTTTTGTTGTAGCGCCACATCATCTGATCCTACAATTCACACTAAAACAACAATCTCTGATCGCATATCAGTCAAATGGGCCTTTCTTGTTTGTCCAGTCAGCTGCAAGATTACTGGTGGAGTATAATCTTCAAATACTTTTTAGCATTAGCCTCATAGCTCTAAAGCAAAAATAAGGAGCAAACTTCTGACACCAAACATGTCTTGACTGATCAACCACTTTTAGGGTGAGAAGGGGAAACTATACATTTGACTATTTTAATGAATTATTGCTTGAACTTTTCAGACAGTGCTGTTGATGTAGGGTTACAGCATTTGGCAGGCAGTTTAATCATGTTACAGAGCAGGCGAAGGCAGTGATCAGAGTCCTGTTGAAGGACTCTTATTGGTTTATCATTGTGTTTTCACCCAGTCACAGAATCAAACCCCAGGCAGCCATCTGGATGGCCACCATGTTACCCTGACCTTTACACAATGGAACCACACACAATATTGATTGATTGATTGATTGATTGATTGATTATGTGTCTGAGTGATTCATCTCAGATAGCCAATGTATGTGTTTGGTAGCAGCTTTAACCAGTAGCCTCACTCCTCTAATCTAACCCATCTCTTTTTCCTTCTCTTCTCTTTCTGCAGTCTACCTTCTGATGAGCTGCTGTCCATAAGTGGTGGCCACCATGTTATGTCACCATGATGACCACATTGTTTGGTAACATAGCTCAGCAGCACAGGATGCTGGGAAATACAAAGCGTTTTTTTTCAGCCTCAGAGGACAAGGAAGGGGAGGATGAGGCGGAGGAGGAGGAGAGGAGGAGGAGAGAGAGGCAGAACGGAGTGATGGATGGAGAAGAAGAGAGTCAGAGAGGAGGCCGCCAATCACGTGAGGGCAAGATGGAGGGGCTAAAACCAGCTGCTATCGTGATCGGACGGCAAAGAGGGGACAGACAGCAGTGGATGGCCAATCCCGGCCACCGAGGGGTTCCTTACCCTTACTCGGCCAATCAGGCGGTACTTCATCATCAGCCAGCCAGCCAACCAATTCCAGTCAATCAGCAGCAGCTTTACAAAGTTCTCACCAATCAGCAAGTTCGGAGGCGTCACATGGAGCGCAGCTTGACCACCATCAGCCCGCTGGAGGACACATACCTGACCATGATGGTGTTCCGCATTGGGATACCTGATATAAAACAAACGGTCAGTACACACAAAGGCATGCGCTCCTGACCGTGATGGTGCTCTTTACATTTTAAGATTAAGTTTAAAGATTTTCTTGAACAGCTTGTTTTATATTTTGTGTTTATGCTGTTTATTTGAGTTTAAGATTCTTTTTTCACTTTTTGCTGGACTGTCTAGTGGGCAAGCCTACAAGAGTCGCTGTTTCTAACTGACTGACTGCCAAAGTCACTGAATGTGTCTCAGACTGACCGACTCACTGACTGATACACTGTCTTACTGATTGAATGCCTCACTGAGTGACTGTGTGTCTGACTAACTGATGGACTGTGACTGACTCACTGACTGACTGACCAACTCACTGACTGATATACTGTGTTACTGACTGACTGACTGCCTCATTGATTGATTGTGATGGACTGACCAACTACTGCCATACTGCCTGATTACTAACTGTTATACTGACTATGGTACTGACTCACTGACTATGGGATTGATTAACTGAGTGACTGTGTGACTGATTGACTGACTTACTGATATCGTAACTAACTGACTGACTGACTGATTGACTTATTGAAAGAGTGACTGACTGACTGTGACTGACTGACTATGTGACTGACTGACTGATTAACTGACTCACTGAAAGAGTAACTAACTAACTAACTGACTAACTTACTGTGACTGACCAAACGACTGGTTGACTTATTGAAAGAGTAACTGACTGACTGATTGACTGATTGACTTACTGAAAGAGTAACTGACTGACTGACTATGTGACTGACTGATTAACTGACTCACTGAAAGAGTAACTAAGTGACTGACTGTGACAGACCAACCGACTGGTTGACTTATCGAAAGAGTGACTGACTGTGACTGACTGACTTACTGGAATCGTAACTAACTGACTATTTAACTGACTGACTGACTGACTAACTGAATGACTTACTTACTGAAATTGTAACTGACTGACTGACTTACTGAGAGAGTGACTAACTGACTGACTATGTGACTGACCAACCAACTGACTGACTGACTGACTGACTGACTGATGGAGAACTAAAGTCTCAATGTAAACTGAAGGCAGCTAGGCTAGGCTAAGCTATGCTACAAGCTAAAGGAAAATGAGCAAGGCAGCAACCGAGTTGAGGCCAACTGCGAAGTTAAAGGCTAAGCTAAGGAATTTGCTAATATCTAGGAAATGACTAAGCTAAGTTGACCAAAGGCTAAAGTAACAGAGGAACAGCAAGGCAAGAAGATTAACTTCAGCATTTCATTATAAGAAGTTCAGTCTAGTCTGATAAATGATCTGAGATGTAGAGAGCTGTGTGGATGATTCTACTGAACTGGTTCAGAGTCTGAACTGAAACACCTTTCAGACGTCTCACTGATTCCTGACTTTACACTAAAATCCTTTTGCTCTGGGTGACCAACACCTTAATTATGTTTGTTTTATTAAAACTAATGACTGAATATTTCAAAACAGTCATAACTCTACCAAACTTTACCAGATGTTTCAGTTGTGACTTTCGGTAGTTGCCCTGCGATGGACAGGTGACCTGTCCAGGGTGTATCCTGCCTTCCGCCCAATGACCACTGGGATAGGCTCCAGCTCCCCTGGTGACCCAGAAAAATAAGCGTTTTAGATACTTCAAAACAATGGGATCTAACTGCTCATCATGTGGACATGAGGGACGCAGCCTCACTTCCTGCTGTTAAATGCAGGGGTGTGGCTAAAATAAGACTCCACCTAAAACTCTGTTTTGATAGTGACATAAAAATTTGGGACAGCATTATTTTAAATATATTTTTTTATTTGAAAATTAAATTCAAAAATAAAAAAAAAGTCTTAATCATTGGAAAAAAAAAAAACATACAAAAACAGTGTAAATTTAGGGGTTAGTGTTCGGGACAGACTCCTCCCAATAGAGAGTACCCTATAAATAATGATAGTAATAAGCTAAATATAAACACCATGTCTAGAAATGCCTGGGTTTAAATAGATTAGAACAAAATTCTTGTAAATATCTAAGATCTGAATATTTCATTGTTTTAAATAGTTTTTCTACTGTTGTCACAGTTTGAACTAATTCTGTAGAATGATCCACCTAAATGATCTTACACTTCTCTAATGTAAATATTATTCAGCTCAGATATTGATAAGAAGTCAGATACAAAAGAGGTAATCCATCTGTGAGACCATTAAAATCTGAGTTTTCCCCCAGAAGCCAAATTTTGGTAAGAGAAGAAAAACGATTTTGAACAAGATGAGACGCACGTCAGTTACAGATCTCTAAAATTAACTTGGCTCTTTCAAGTTTACTTTAAATATTTACTAAACATCCTAGATAAACGCACATATTGGCCAATATTATCAGTTATCAGAACCATTATGAGTTATCAAATCTTCATACTGATGAGACCTCAGTGCACACAGAGGTCTCCATGTCAGAGTGTGATCCTGATGCTACACCTGTCAGTCAGAGTTTCCCTTCCAGCTAAATCAGATTCTCCACACACACTTACACGTGGAAAAGACTGTCACTTTCACAGCCTCAAATTACTAAACACTGACAACCGCAGACTCGCACACAGATGTGTTTACGGTCTGATTTATTAACCCTGGTGAATTGAGAGGCTTGGTGCCTTTGAGAAACAAAAACGCTTTTCAAAAGTGGATTCAATGCAAAAAATACATCTTTAAAATGTTTGAACTGAGGAGCCAAAACATCACAGCTACATTTCTAATATGTTGTTGGTCCTCCATATGGTGCCAAAATAGTTCCAACTCACTGAGACATGGACTCTACAGACCTCTGAAGGTGCCCACAAAGATTCCAGCAACAAATCCTGTAAGTCCTGTAAGTTGTGAGATGGAGCCACCACTGATCTGACTTGTTGTTCCAGCACATCCCGCAGATGCTCACTCAGATTGAGATCTGGGGAATTTGGAGGTCTGGGGCAACACCTTGAACTCACGTTCCTCAAATCAATCCTGAACAATGTGTGCAGTGTGGCAGGGTGCACTGCCACTCTTAGTGGGGAATGTCACTGCCATGAAGGGGTGTACCTGGCATGGGGTAGGCGGCACCTGTCCTTGTGCTGTTGCACCTGATGTCATTCATGGTCAAGGTGAAGGAGCTTCCTAAAGTTCTCATGGAGAACATTATTAAATAACTCTCAAATAGAAAAACCTACAGAGCCCCAGCAAAAACCTCAAACATCCCTGCCAGTACAACTGCTTCAATAGTATACATTGGAAAGTTCATAGAACCCCAACTGATCTCCTCAGGCAGGAGCTTCACGCAGGGTTTCTCTCAGACTGGTGAAGGTAAGAGACGCTGGCAGTCGCTCAAAAAGAGCTGCAGGATGACCTGAAAGCAGCAGAACATTTCCACAGAGAACAATAAGCAGTGAACTGCATCTCAGTCGTCTCTGTTCCTACACGCCACACTAAACTCCTTTACTAAAGAAGCACAGAGGTGCGCATCTAAATCAGAGCTTTTTTGGAACAGTGAATAATGAAGAAGCCCACAGTTGAGATGCTGCTGCCCCAGCAGACCACTCCATAAAAGATAGCTGATGCCACCATGGTGTGGAAAAAGGTCCTCAGGAGCGCCCCCTGCACTCCAAACGACCTCAGTCTCCTAAGGAGGTACAGTCTGCTCTGGCCTTTCCTGTAAAGTGCACCAGTGTTTTCTGACCAGTCCAGTCTATTGTTGAGGTAAAAACCCAGGTACTTATAAAAGTCCACTCTCTCAATATCCCTTCCGTGGATGTTCACTGGTGGAAGGAGGTGACTACGTCTGTGAAAATCCACAACCATTACTTTGGTCTTTCCCGCATTGATCAGGAAGTGGTTCCTCAGACACCAGTCCACAAAGTCCTGGGTCAGTCCTCTGTACTCTCTGTCGTCCTCATCTGTAATGAGGCCGAAGGTTTGAGTGTATGATCCTAAGAACACCCACAGTGAAGCGTGAAGGTAAGACCATCATGATCTGAGGCTGCTTCTCTGCAAAGCTTCCCTGGAGCAATATACCTGGAGATACTCGAGGAGAATTTAGTCTTATTAGCCATGAAACTCTCCAACGACACTGACTCCAAATACACCAAAATAACTCAAGGCTGGTTTGTAAAGGAGGTCAAGGTGCTGCAGCGTCTAGCCAATCTCCTGACTGAATCCCACTGAAACTTTATGGAGGACTTTGAGTCCATCAGAGAGATCCTCATAACCTTGGAGAACCAAGAGGAACTGCCCAAAACTGAACCACAACGCTGGAAAAAGCCAGTTACGTCTCACTATAGAAGTCTCAAAGCTGTAATTGCCAAAGCTGTAACAAAGCACTACTGTTACTAATGTCGGGTGTGTGAATGTTTTTCCTAATCAGTTTTGCTTTTTAACTCTCTCTCTCTGTGTCTCTCTCTGTCTCTCTCTGTTATTGCTTATAAATACATACCTTTCTGTTTTTATTCAAATACAAAGTTAAAAGGCATTATGTGTGTAAATTTAAACTGTATCTGTGCACTGGAGGTTTATTATATAACAAAAACAAGTGTCTGAATACTTGTTTTCCCTCTCTGTATATTCCTGTTCATGCATTTCTTATTCAAAAAGGTAGTTTGAGAAAAACAAAGTAAAAATCAACAAATTTTTGTCTTTGTTAGGTCACATTCTTTACGTATCAATTATATACATCTACATCATGTGTCAAGCTCCAGTCCTCGCAGGCTGAAACTCCGCAGAGTTCGGCTCACTGCCTCATAAAAAACACCTGATTCGGCTGATCAGCTAATTAGCAAGACCTTAATGAACTGATTTTGCAGTGTTAGATGAGGGTAAACGCTGATCTCCATGGCACATTGGACCAGAAGGTCCCCAGTTTGACACTCCTGACCTAAACGGGTGAGAAATCATGTGATTAATGGAAAGAACAAATTAAATGGCAGAAATAGACACGTTTCTGAATTGGTCCTAAAAGGTTAAGGCTTTCAGTTCATGCAAAATTGTTTTCTGAGAGCAGAAAGCGTGTGTGTGTGTGTGGGGGGGGGGTAATTGGTTCCAGTCCATGGCTCCTGCTGACCTGTTTCAGCAGCAGGCCTGTGGGACAGGCAGAAAGGCATTGTGGGAAATATGAACAATATGACAAATGAAGTTACAGCGAGAGCGGAGGAAGGTCTTAATGAACGAGTGTGTGTGTGTATATATTGATTTTTGGAGCTTGGCTCAATGAAGGAGAGAACAGAGGAGCTCAGACAGTTTTAATAAAGCTCTCTCTCTCTCTCTCTCTCTCTCTCTCTCTCTCTCTCTCTCTCTCTCTCTCTCTCTCTCTCACATCCTCCCCTGTGGTTTGGTGTGTTCTGCACTGATACATTACTGCAATAACAAAAGCTTTACACCTCTAATGAACCAGTTGCCATGCCGATACTGCTGACCTCACACACGTACACACACACACACACACACACACGCACTCGGCTGTATGGGGGATATAAGGGTAAGAAGCGTAAGTGTATTCTGCGTATCTCGTTTTTGTTTTCATACATTTTCAGAATAGAAATGGTCCTGAATTTGTAAAGTTTAATGTTTAATTTTTTAAAACTGAAAGAGTATCGCAGAGACATGCAAACCCTAAAGTAGTTGGTAATAATTTTGGGTAACATGATGGTAAATTCCAAGACAGTCTAATTTACATTGAAAGAGGTTCTAGATATTAACTGGGTAAGTGTTTGGTACTTCCACAGTACTGTGTCTTTATGTTTGGTATGGAGTAGCGAGTGGTGAGAAGATTATAGCTTAATAAAGTACAGAGTCTTATACAGTATCTCATAGTAAACAGTATGTACTTGCTTATTAGCTATAATCTAAATTGAATCTGGACTGTAAAAGAAAACAGGCGTTCTTACTGTAGCTCTAATGGGTTCTTACTGCTTACTTCACAAAAACTATCTCTGTTCAACCCAAATTCTGAAGAAGTTAGGACGCTGTGTAAAATGTAAATAAATGTAAATATAAACAGAATGCAATGATTTGTAAATCTCATAGACCCATATTTTATTCACAACAGAACATAGAACACATATCAGATGTTGAAAGTGAGACATTTTACCATTTCATGAAAAACATTAACTCATTTAGAACTTGGCTCGTCTTTGCTGGATTTTTCATTTCATGATGGTCCAAATGTTTTCTATTGGTGAAAGGTCTGGACTGCAGGCCAGTTCAGCACCCGGACTCTTCTTCTGTGAAGCCGTGCTGTTGTGATGGATGCAGTATTCGGTTTAGTATCGTCTTGCTGAAATATGTAAGGTCTTCCCTGAAAGATACATTGTCTGGATGGAAGCACATGTTGTTCTAAAACCTCTATATACTGTTCAGCATTGATAGAGCCTTTCCAGATGTGTGAACTGCCCACACCATGGGCACTAATGCAGCCCCAAACCATCAGAGATGCAGGCTTTTGAACTGTGCGCAGATAACAAGTCCACAGGACACGGCGTCCGTGGTTTCCAAAAGGAATTTCAAATTTTGATTCATCTGACCACAGAACAGTTTTCCATTTTGTCTCAGTCCATTTTAAATGAGCTTTGGCCCAGAGAAGACGGCGGCGTTTCTGGATCGTGTTGACATACGGCTTCTTCTTTGCATACAGCTTCTTTGATACAGCTTTAACTTGCATTTTGGATTGCACAGCAATTTGTGTCCACAGACAGTGATTTCTGGAAGTGTTCCTGAGCCCATGCAGTGATTTCCAGTACAGAATCATGTCGGTTTTTAATGCAGTGCTGCCTGAGGGCCTGAGGATCATGAGCATCCAATACTGACCATCGGCTTTGTCCCTTGCGTACAGGCATTTCTCCAGATCCTCTGAATCTTTTGATGATATTATGTACTGTAAATGGTGGTCTTCGCAATTTTATGTTGAGGGGCATTTTTCTGAAATTGTTCCACAATTTTTAGATGCAGTTTTTCTCAGATTGATGAACCTCTGCCTATCTTATCTTCTGAGAGACTCCGCCTCTCTGAAATGCTCTTTTTATACCCAGTCATGTGAGTTAGTTGCAAACTGCTCACCCAGCTGTTTTTTTATTACTACCACTGACTTTTCCAGCCTTTTGTTGCCCCTGTCCCAACTTTTTTGAGACGCATTGCTGACATCAAGTTCTAAACGAGTTAATGTTTTTCATGAAATGGTAAAATGTATCACTTTCAGCATCTGATATGTGTTCTATGTTCTATTGTGAATAAAATATGGGTCTATGAGATTCACAAATCATTGCATTCTGTTTATATTTTCATTAATTTACATTTTACACAGCGTCCCAACTTTTTTGTAATTAGGGTTGTATATTGTGCCACCATTTTATGCCACATAACTTCACCGCTACTTGGAGGGGTTTCTGATGTACTTTCCTGCTTAAATGTGTGATGTAACAGTGAAATGTGGTGTAAATAGGTTTGGTGTGAATATGTTTGATGGTTGGTGTAGTGTAGTGGGTAACACTTCTGCCTTCTACACTGTAGATTGGGGTTCAATCTCCCACCTGGGCAATCACCCTACACTTTAACAATAAGAGTCCTTGAGCAAGACTCCTAACACTACCTTCACCTACCTGTGTAAAATAATCAAATTGTAAGTCACTCTGGAAAAGAGTGTCTGCCAAATGCCCTAAATCTAATGTAAATGAACCACGTTGTTACTCTAAATATGTATGAGGTATTTTACTATGTCCATCAGTTTAATAGCGAGAAGCTGTTCAGCCAAATGATGAGACAAAACATTATAACCACTCACAGATGAAGCAAATAATGTTGATTATCTTGTAACAATGGCGCAGGTCAAAATCCGGGATAAAGTTGAGATTAAGCGAACAGTCGGTTCTCGTAGTTGACGTGTTGGATGCAACAGAAATAGGAATATGTCAAAAGTGCCCACAATGGAAGAAGATCTGATAAGTCCTGTTTTCTTTTACATCACATGGATGGTCGGGTATATGTGTGCCATTTACCCAGGGAAGTGATGGCACAAGGATGCACTGTGGGAAGAAGACAAGCTGGTGGAGGGAGTGTGATGCTGTGGGCGATGTTCTACTGGGAAACCCTGGGTCCAACATTCATGTGGACATCAATTTGACACCTGTCTAAATATCATTGTGGACCAGACACATCCCTTCATGGTGGTATTCCCTGATGGCCATGGCTTCTTTCAGCAGGATAGTGACTGCACACCTTGTTAGGGATTTGAGGGTTTGAGGAACATGATGAAGACTCCAAATTCCCCAGATCTCAATCCAATTGAGCATCTGTGAGATGTACTGGAACAAGAAGTCAGGGCTTAAATGATCTGCTGCTAATGTCTAGGTGCCAGATACCCCAGGGCACCTACAGAGATCTCTAATAGAGTCCATGCCATGTGTCCACTTATTGTCCACTCTATTAGACACTCCTACCTTGTTGGTCCACCCTGTAGATGATGTAAGGTCAGAGACAATAGCTCATCTGCTGCTGCACAGTTTGTGTTGGTCATCCTCTAGTCCTTCATCAGTGGTCACAGGATGCTGCCCACAGGACGCTGCTGGCTGGATGTTTTTGGTTCTCTGTCCAGCAGCGACACTGAGGTGTTTAAAAACTCCAGCAGCACTGCTGTGTCTGATCCACTCATACCAGCGCAACACACACTAACACACCACCACGACATCAGTGTCACTGCAGTGCTGAGAATGACCCACCACCCAAATAGTACCTGCTCCGTGGGGGTCCTTTGGGGGTCCTGACCACTGAAGAATGGGGTAACAAAGAATGCAGAGAAACAGATGGACTACAGTCTGTAAGTGTAGAACTACAAAGTGAAACTATACGTTCAGTGGAGCTGATGGACAATGAATGGAGAGGTGTTACTAATAAAGTGGTTGGTTGGTGGATGTATATGGGGTGGATGTATGACCCCACACACTGACTGACTGTGTGTATGTGTATGTGTGTGTAGAAGTGTTTGAGGTTTGATCCCGATGCGACCGTGTGGAGTGTGAAGCAGCAGGTGATGTGCTCCCTGGGTGAATCCCTGTGGGACGTCTATAATTACGGCCTTTTCCAACCGGCCGGAGAGGGGCGGGACGCCTGCTTCCTGGAGGAGGAGCGATCGCTGCGAGAATACCCACAATTCCTCGAGATGGGCGTGCCTTACCTGGAGGTACTGTAACTACATCACCCACACACTACCCACCAAAAAAACAACACAATCCAGAGCACTCTTAACAACAGTTCATCCAAAAACAGGCAAGACGTTTGGTGTCAGAAGGTGTGTAGTTTGTGTAGTTTATACAGCAGTTATTACTAATAATGAAGTCCTTCAGATGAATCAATAGAGCAGGTGAACTACAGCACTGGAGCTGGGACATTCTGGACTATACAATCAGTTAACAGGACTGTGGAGTCCATGAGGGACTGCTGCAGTGTCCACCATGAGTCACAGGGGGCCATGTGGCTCTACCAACCCCTACACCAATGAGGATCTATTGACTTCATCTTTCCATAGTGGAAAGTTAGTAAGGCAGAAACAGAGAAAGAATGGTGTTCCACCCACTAGCTGGGTCTCCTGTCTCACGAGCTGGGAGGGTGAAGGCTGGCATCTCTTCACACTGATGCTAACACAATGTTATTGGACAGCTCATTTAGTTTGGAGGTGAATGCTAACGGCTATTTCTGCTAACAGACACCCATGTTGGCTAACACTGCTCTGTTACAGGTGGAGATGAAGGCCTATCCTAATCCCCCACCAAAGAAAGCAAGGACAATTTGCTGCCTTGGATTTGGACGAATACATATGCTTGTCCATGCTTTGGCATCACCGGGGAACAATCTTGAGATCTTAGTAACAGCGTCCATGACGACTTCAGTCCGGACTGAAGTTTGGACAGTGTCTATTACAGAATAACAGTTTCCTACCTTCATAATCTCATCATGAACTCCAGATAAGAAAACAGCATCACACAAACATCCTAACTAGACTAAACCTCCTAAATCCTGTCCTAACTTTAGGATGAACCCCAACAGGGTCCTCACTTCTGTTTAAGTCAAAGTTAAGTCAAAGTTTATTTATGCAGCGCTTTTTACAGCAGGTGTTGTCACAAAGCAGCTTCACAGAAAAATCTGGGTCCGAGCCCCCACGAGCATCGCCAATGGCGACAGTGGCAAAGAAAACTCCCTGAGAGCTAGAGGAAGAAACACTGAGAGGAACAAGGACTCAGAATGGGAACCCATCCTCCTCTGGAAGCGTCCGTTTCTATGGTTTTTAGGCAGCTGAGTCAGCAGCATAGTTCACTACCAGCATAATGAGCTCCATTTATTTCTACTGTAAAACGCTGCTTTCACTGTGAGATGATTTTCTTTTCTAACTCTGCGTTTTAAAGATCTCAGACGCTGCAGACTCGATCTCCACCGCCCCTCTGATCACCTTCGTGTGTTAATGTTGATGATGAAATATTACAGTGATGGTGGTGAATAATGAGGAGACGGAGCTGAACGTGTGTCTGTTTATTAGGAGGAGTAACGTTAGCGCGCTCGGCTAAAGCGTTTGGGAAATGGAGACTGAAACAGGGGAGCGGTGACGCTCTGATAAACAGCAGGTGGCGCTCTCTCACAGTATTCACTACTTACAGTTTATCACACTTTAGTTCTGTTTGACCTGTTTTACATCAGTAAAAGCAGCTTAACTCACATTTTTAACATTATTTTAATGACGTGTTTATGTTTCAGCTGTATGCGGATCGTTGTTTGCTAGGAAACAGACATGACAGCTGATTATTGATTTCAAGCAGGTTAAGATCTCCTAACTGGAGATAAGATGCTGTCAGATAAGAATCTGTGAAAAATCTTATCTTGACCTGTCAGATCGTAACCTAAGACTAAAAGAGGACGTTTCTGTGTCACGGCTCCAGCTCTTCAGACTGTCCTGCCTTCCAAAAGTGCAGCAAAACTCAGAAATAACAGTAGCTTGTGGCTTTTCTGCATGTATGAATGGATGGAAGAGCACAAATTAGTTCTGCAGATCAAGGGGAAGATGGAGTTAATTAATTATGACAAACATCAACACATCTCCCTGCTGACTTGATGTTGGGAGGAGATAATGGCTGCCTGTGGACGTTCCAATGAGGATAGTTTACACTGTGCAGTTATTCTTCTGTATATTGGGCTGTAAATTGTTGTTATGAAGCCATTTTAAATCTCTACAGAAGAGCGGAACGTGGATTTACATCACTGTACCACACTGCTCACACATATTACACAGCTACAATCAGACTGCTGTGAAAACCTTATTACCACAAATCTCTCTCTTTCTCTCTCTCTCTCTCTCTCTCTCTCTCTCTCTGTTCTCACTCTCTCTCTTTGCTCTCTCTCTCTCTGTCTCTTTGTTCTCACTCTCTCTGTTTGCTATCTCTCTCTCTCTCTCTTTCTCTCACAGTTCAGGTATAAGAGCAGGGTCTATAAACAGACCAACCTGGATGAGAAACACCTGGCCAAGCTACACACCAAGGTACTGTACATGCGTATTTGGAAATCTCTTAAAATGGACGTTTTGCAACATCTTTGATTTCAGATCTAAATGTAAGGCTGACATCTGGGCTACATCTGAGATTAACATCTGGACTATTTTTGAAGTCTATGTTTAACATCTGGAGTGCCAGTGGACTAAATCTGAGGCTGGGAACTAGACTAAATCTGAGACTGAGATTGGGATTAAATCTGGGGTTGAGGTCTTGACTAAGTTTGAGACTGAGTTCTTGAATAGATTTACGGCTGAGATTGGAATTTAGACTGAGGCTGAGATCTGGATCAAATCTGAAGCTGACATCTGGATTTAAGTCTGTGGCTGAGGTCTGGACTGAATTTAAGACTAAAATCTTTAAAAGTTTAATTTGAGGTTATGATCTGAACTAAATCTAAGGTAAAATTTTAATGAAATCTGATTCTGAGATCTGGATCATGTCTGAATCTGAAATCTGTATTTAATCCGTGGTTGAGATGTAAATTTGACTAAATTTGTATTAAATTTGAGGCTGAAATATAGATTTAACCTGTGATTGAGACCTGGACTAAATTTGAGGTTGACGTCACAATTAATTCTCAGGCTGCACTGCAAAAATTAACATCTTGTCAAGTGAAATTATCTTAAATCTAGTTGATTTATCCAATATTTTTCCTATTGAGAAATATTTTAAGATTATTCAATTTATTTCCAAACTTTTTTTTAGAAGTAAAATTATTTAACTGAATTGGCAGATAATTTTTTTAAATTACTTAAAACAGGTAAAAATATGTCTAGAGATAATCTAAATAATATTATGATAAGAGCACAACCTTCTCAAAATAAGAAATATTAAACATATCAACTAGAATAAAGATTTTTACTTGACAAGGTATCATTTTTTGCTGTGTGAAAACTGGATTAAGTCTGGGGCTAAGATATGGATTTAATCTGAGATTGAGATCTGGACTAAATGTGGTCTATATGTTATAATGAATTGCCCAGACTTTCCTACAGCTCCTTTAGAGTAATGAACGCACATGTACAGGGAGAATAAATGTGTGTCTGCTGCCCTCTGGAGGACACACTGGAAACATTCAGAGAGGCTGTACGTGTAGAAGTGTGTGTTTTAATATGCAGTGCCTGACTTCAGCCACACTCTGTGTGTAAAACGTGTGTGTGCTGCCCTCCACAGGCTAATCTGAAGAAGTTTCTGGACTATGTTCAGAACGGAGCTATAGAGAAGATGAGTAAAGCTCTGGAGAAAGGGCTGGACCCCAACTATCACGACCCAGAGAGCGGAGGTGAGACACACACACCTCAGTTTATATCACAATACCTACATTTAGAGTCGGTTATTCATTCAGCCTAATCAGAAACTTTAAGGTAGGAGGGGCAAAATGTTGATAAGCGTAGTGAATTATGGTTAATTTTGTGTTGTTGAATCTTTATCAGTTGAATGATGTTGAATGATTATCAGTATCGACACAGTAACGACTATGTTAAATCTCTCTCTCTCTCTCTCTCTCTCTCTCTCTCTCTCTCTCTCTCTCTCTCTCTCTCTCAGAGACCCCACTGACACTAGCAGTGTTGGGGGGTCTTAGTGTGGAGGGGATTCGGGTGCTGCTGCTAAACGGAGCTCATCACGACTTCAGAGCCAGAGACGGATTCACTCCACTGCATAAAGCAGTTAGAGCCCACAACCACACCGCCCTGCTGGTACTGACACTGTCATTACATCAGTTCAGAGACACCAAGACTTTTAAAATGTCAACAAGAGTAAACAGACCATGTTCAGTGATGAAGAGGCAGCAGTGCTAACTGGAAAAGTTCACTCCTTTAAGAAAAGGCAGAGTGATTACGCAGACTAAGACTTTCCCAGGTGGTTGCTAGGGTGCTGCCAGTGGTTACTATGCTATTTAAGGTGGTTGCTAAGGTGTTGCTATGATATTCAGGTGATTGCTAGGTTGTTGCTAGATGCTTGCTATAGTATATCTGGTGGCTCCTAGGGTGTTGCTAGGTGATTGCTATAGTATCTAATGTCCTTGCTAGAGTGTTACTAGTTGATTGCAGTAGCACCTTAGGTGATTCCTAGGGTGTTGCTAGGTGGTTGCTATGGTAGCCAATGTGGTTGCTAGGATGTTATTAGTTGATTGCAATAATATCTCAGGTGGTTCCTAGAGTGTTGCAAGGTGGTTGCTATGGTATTCAGTGTGGCTGCTAGGATGTTATTAGTTGGTTGCAATAGTACCTCAGGTGGTTCCTAGGTTGTGGCTAGGTGGTTGCTATGGTATCCAATGTGGTTGCTGCTGTATTGATATATTGTGGCTGGCATAATGTGCTGCATCGTTTCACACTCGTACATCTGATCATGAGAGTTTAAACTGTTCTGATGACAAACACTCTTTCAGCTCATGTTTGAGGCTCATGTCTCTATCTATTTGCTGACACTGTTAAAGGAAGCCTCTCAACGAAGCGTCTTTAAGACTCTAATGCAAATTTACACCTGGTTTTAAAAGGCAGAGGAAGCCTCCAGTCTCTCTAAAATTAAAACTGCTGAAGAGGAAGATTTGAGTATGGAGTCATGGGGGGGTGAGGGAGGTGCTACACTGCATGCATTTATCAAAATGTAAGCTCACTAAAATCTTCCTCTCATTTGTGTTCGCTGTAAACAAGCACCTGCTACACTGTTTCATATTATTCCTGTTCATATAAATAAAATTTTCTCCATTTTAAGTTTTCTGCATCATTTGAGCTCAGTAACTGTCCTTTACTTTGTGTAAAATTTTCATGATGAATGAACCAATAGAAATGCTCCAAAACCGCTTGGAATAAAATCTCTTTACCCTGACCTACATTAAAAGTCAAGAATGTTTTGACCCTCTCCTGTAAAATTACCATTTTGGAAATCCTTGTTTTTCTTTGGACATTGGAGTGAGTTTTAGCAGGTTTTAGCCCTCCAAATGTTATTTAGCCCCCTTTTAGGTATTTTTATTTCAAATCATCAATAGTTTTTCTCAATTAACTGTGCCATCACATCTCCAAATTACATACTGTGATAGCAGGGCATTAAGAACTTGGGGAGGTGCTGCTGCTGCTCTAATGCAGTACTGTGCCAGGTGTGCTACCAGAGATTTACTAATATAACACGAGAAGACGGCAATCCTGCTGTTTATCTTCGTATTAGACTCTGTTAAGTTGTAAATCAGTCATATCAGGCCTTATTTATTTAAACCTTATTTACCTTATTTAAACCTTATTTAAAATATATAATACACAGAGTGAAACAGTAAGTAGTTACAGAGTGAAGCTATTTCACTTCAACATGAATTTGTGGCAAATTATGGTAAATATCGCCTCCTGTCGAGTTTTTAGCGGCTGCTTGTTAGCTAACACTGGCTACCTTAGTTACAAGGGCAAACAAAATGAAACTAGCTGATAAGCCAACTATTTTAATAATTCAAAGAAATGTCACTGATAGTATAACAGTAAACAAGTGAAAGACAGGAATAACTTTATTGGCAGCTCTTTATACACCAGTAGTAGCTATAGACTGTTGTTCACGGTCCGTTAGTGTCAGTGAAAAGGTCTCACAACGTTACTCATAACACAGTTTTATATCCCTCAAATCCTCAACCATCTCAATTTCTTTGAGATGCTCAGTGAAGCAGCAGCTCAAGTGAAGGCCAGTCAGGCAAGAAGATTTTCGCAAGTGATATTTTGAAGAGATAAATCACTAAATAGTAATATTTTTGATCAATTTTGTGCCTACTGCTACTCAAAAATTCAGACAAACAAACATTTTCTCCTATAGGAGCATACCCCCAGACCCCCCTAGTAAAAGGTTTGTCCCCCTGTCCATAAAACGTCGCTGGCAACCCTGTTACTCTGTCCCTAAATTTAAACTGGGTGAAATTCATCCTGGGGCAGTTCTTGCACAAACTTGTTTGAGTAGATTTCCATGTCCAGCCTCCAAAATATTGGAGAAACTAAAGGAGGAAAGCTGGGTTTTAGTGCCTGAGCCTGTCAGTGTCTGTTTACTTTGAATTTGCTGGGTTAAACTGCCACTTTGATGATACCAGACCAACCAATATGGCAACAAGGCTTCAGGATATTTAGACATATAAAACACCTAAAATAACTGCGGGAAACTGCCTTTTAACAGAGCAGTGAGAGGGGCTGTCACAGCGCTAAAACCTTTAATGAGCCTTCTAGAAAGTTAGCAAAGCCAGAACTGCTGTAGTTATATGACTTGCATAAATGTGAGACCTGGGGCGCAATAAGGGTGGTGGTGTAGTAGTGGTGGTGTAGTTGTGGTGGTGTAGTAGTGGTGGTGTTGTAGTGGTGTAGTAGTGGTGGTGTAGTAGTGGTGGTGTAGTAGTGGTGGTGTAGTAGTGGTGGTGTTGTAGTGGTGTAGTAGTGGTGGTGGTGTAGTAGTGGTGGTGTAGTAGTGGTGGAAGACACTTTTTTGGTTTTGCTGGAAGCTTCTTGGAAATCATGATTGTGATAATATTAGTGATAGTGCTAACTTGTGAATAAACCACAAGGCCACACCCATTTTACCCCAATTGTACTCCAACCTTTCAGATGTTTAGACCAACTTTGGACCAAATGAGCTTCAGTATGTGCTTTCCACCTTTTTCTGTAGTGCCTACGAAAGATTAAAATCAAGGATTTGTGTTGTAAGGCTCTGGTCCGTAGTCCACTAACAAAGAACCAAACCTAAACTTTATACAGGGTGATTCAAAAAGATTCATCCAAATTCAAAATGATTTATTTCTCTTGTAAATCATCACAGAACAATGCATTAAACTGTAAACGGTTTAAATGATCATAAAGTTTATTACGTAATTTTACAGGTGCTCAGTATGAACCTCCTCCAGCTGTACAGACAACATCAACGCCATAGTCAAATTCATCCCATACTGGATTGAGCATGTCGGGTGTTGCTGCACTCACGGCTCTTTCAGTGCGATTTCAGAGATCATCCAGTGTTGCTGGGAGTGGCACATAAACAGAATCCTTAACGTAGCCCCATAAAAAAAGTCAAACGGTGTGAGATCTGGTGATGCTGGTGACCTTTTCTTGGAACTGTTGGTACCAACGACGAACGCTGTGAGCTGTTGGAGGCTCACTGCCACACTGACAGTCAGAAACTCTATGACCCCCTCTTTCAATTGGTATGTGATTGGTTCCTCAGTGCCTCACGGTTGGAAAAATATGGTGCTTTGAATCAGATGAATCTTTTTAAATCACCCTGTATATAAGCATTAGCACTGCTGTTTTCTTAAAAATAGAAGCAATAAAATTTCATGTTCAAATTTTTAAAAGAACGTAAGGTGTCCCCAGGTGAAGGCAGTGTATATATTATTTGTTTTGCACTCCTTTTGCCCCATTCAGCTCCTCTTTCTCTCTCTCTCTCTCTCTCTCTCTCTCTCTCTCTCTCTCTCTCTGATAGACTCTTCTGTCTTTGGGGGCCTCTCCAGACTATAAAGATCGCTGTGGTCTGACGGCGCTCTACCACTCCGTATTGACAGGGGGCGACACGTCCTGCTGTGAAACCCTGCTGTACTACAGAGCTCGCCTCGGGGTCCGGGATGAGAACGGCTGGGATGAGTCCCATCAGGTGTGTAGTGTTGGAATGTGGAGAAGTGTTGTTATACGGGTCATTCTACCATTGCGGTGGCAAACAATGTACAATTGTTAATGTAATTCAAGTGATAAACATAGTCTGTTATATTGAACAGCAGTCAAGTTGTAACACCACTGACTGTAACACCACTGACTGTAACACTACTGTCTGTAACAGTCTACTGACTGTAACACCAAGGACTGCAACACCACTGACTGTAACACCACTCACAGTAACACCACTGACTGTAACACTACTGTCCGTAACAGTCCACTGACTGTAACACCACTGACTGTAACACTACTGTCCATAACAGACCACTGACTGTAACACCACTGACTGTAACACCACTGACTGTAACACTACTGTCCATAACAGACCACTGACTGTAACACCGCTGACTGTAACACCACTGACTGTAACACTACTGTCCATAACAGACCACTGACTGTAACACCGCTGACTGTAACACCACTGTCCTTAACAACACTGATCCTAACACCATTGACTGTAACACCACTGACAACATTACTAAAATCCCTTTTCTGATGCTGGTCATACTCTACATAACTGAAAATCTTTACAGATTTCTAAAACTGAGAGCATCAGGACCCTGACATCAATCTGTCACAGAATTTCTCATCTTTTTGTCATGTTGGTGCTCACATAGACAAGGCAAACTGGGATTAGTATGTGGTGAGAAACACTGATATCACAGTGAGAGCTGGAGAAATATTTCACTACAAACTGCCAGCTGAGCTGAAAGTGTAGAGAGAGACCTGATCTGGATCAACATGATAAACATGATAAACATGATAAACATTATAAACATTATAAACATGATAAACATGGTAGATTGGACTGCGCTTTAATGCATTTTTACAGATTAAACTGACAAAAAATTATATGCACCTGTGATGTCACTCCTGTTTCTGTGCACAACATGATTAAAAACCACAAAAAAAAATTCAAAACGATTTGAATCAATTTTTATTAGTAAATTTATGAATACACAGACCTTCACTTTTTCTGATATTTTGAGCTCGTTTCTGGGCTTCAGAGTTTCATTGACAATGGTAGAATGACCAATAAATGTTTGGATCCTCCAGGGGGCGCCAATTTACACAGGAAACACTGTCATCGAATTTGCAGTTCTGTGCTTTAGCTGTGTGTGTGTGTGTGTGTGTGTGTGTGTGTGTGTGTGTGTGTGTGTGTGTGATAGTTCAGTGAAAAGTCTAATTTAAATGTGTTATAGTCAATCAGGCAAGGTTTCCTTCTTTAGTTTCAGCACTGGAGCTACGAGGCTTATGTAACTAATAAGTAATGAAAGCTGATTCCTCACCAATTAGCATGGAGTTAACTGCATGTCTAAATCATCACGTGTCTCAGACTGTGTGGAGGTGTTCAGTGCCTCTAATAGTCTTGATTCTGTGGTTTCTGACACTGCATGATTCACTGTTATCTATAAACACGGACAAACATACAGAGAAAATTAAGACTAAAGAGTGAAACATGTTTGTAAAATTCCATTTATTTATTTATCTTTGTTTACATCTTATTATTATTCTAAGGTCAAAAAATGTGTAATACAGCTTTTTAGCAAGAACAAAGAAACTTTGCAGGATCTTAGAGTCTAAACCCGATTAGGTTTCTGGTGCTTAACGGATTTGACTTACAGTTTTCATGCAGCTTTCGCTTAAACACTGTTTTTCCATAGTCATACGTGTGGGAATGTTCAACAGTCACTCCACTTATATAATATGTAGAGCTTATATCTCCACCTCCTATTCCACCACAGTCAGTATTCACTCTGTACACAAATGTTTCTGGACACTCCTCTTATATCACCACCATACAAGTATGCTAGCAACACCTTAGCAACCACCTAGGACTCCATAGCAACACCTTAGCAACCACCTTGGATAGCATAGTAACACCTTAGCAACCACCTATGGCACCATAGCAACACCTTAGGAACCACCTTGGAGGGCATATAACACCTTAGCAACCACCTAGGACACCATAGCAACACCTTGGATAGCCTAGCAACACCTTAGCAACCACCTATGGCACCATAGCAACACCTTAGGAACCACCTTGGATAGCACAGTAACACCTTAGCAACCACCTTGGATAGCATAGTAACACCTTAGCAACCACCTATGGCACCATAGCAACACCTTAGGAACCACCTTGGATAGCACAGTAACACCTTAGCAACCACCTTGGATAGCATAGTAACACCTTAGCAACCACCTATGGCACCATAGCAACACCTTAGGAACCACCTTGGATAGCCTAGCAACACCTTAGCAACCACCTTGGATAGCATAGTAATACCTTAGCAACCACCTATGGCACCATAGCAACACCTTAGGAACCACCTTGGAGGGCATAGTAACACCTTAGCAACCACCTAGGACACCATAGCAACACCTTAGCAACCACCTTGGATAGCATAGTAACACCTTAGCAACCACCTAGGACTCCATAGCAACACCTTGGATAGCATAGTAACACCTTAGCAACCACCTATGGCACCATAGCAACACCTTAGGAACCACCTTGGAGGGCATAGTAACACCTTAGCAACCACCTAGGACACCATAGCAACACCTTAGCAACCACCTTGGATAGCATAGTAACACCTTAGCAACCACCTAGGACTCCATAGCAACACCTTGGATAGCATAGTAACACCTTAGCAACCACCTATGGCACCATAGCAACACCTTAGGAACCACCTTGGATAGCACAGTAACACCTTAGCAACCACCTAGGACTCCATAGCAACACCTTGGATAGCATAGTAACACCTTAGCAACCACCTATGGCACCATAGCAACACCTTAGGAACCACCTTGGATAGCCTAGCAACACCTTAGCAACCACCTTGGATAGCATAGTAACACCTTAGCAACCACCTATGGCACCATAGCAACACCTTAGGAACCACCTTGGATAGCCTAGCAACACCTTAGCAACCACCTTGGATAGCATAGTAACACCTTAGCAACCACCTATGGCACCATAGCAACACCTTAGTAACCACTTTGGATAGCATAGTAATAGCCTAGCAACACCTTAGCAACTATCTGAGACACCACAGCAATGGTCTAGCAACACTTTAGTAACCAACTGGAATGGCAGAGCTATGGCTAAGCAACACCTTAGCAACCACCAAGCAATGGCCTAAACAACCAATACAACAGCACCCTTGAAGTTACACTGTAGCAACTACCTAGAATAACTATATAAACTCAGTTAAGTTTCAAAAACCATTACGTGTGGAGTTTTATTATCTGGCTTTGATAAGCTCACTTTAAATATCTTCACAAGCTTTTTCCTGTGCTTTGTACTTTTCTCCAGTGTTATCGTTAGAAGGTCGTTGGTGCTTCTTGCTCATTATTTGACTTTTAAATGTGAATTTTCTCTTCTTTAATAAGAGTATAATGCAGTGTGTAAACACTGTTCTAAACCTACTCTTCACTCTCCAGTCCATACACTCCACACACTGAACTGAGCTGCAACCAGCCTGTTTTAAATGGATTGTGTTTGTGATGTCACAAAAACCAACTCATTTACATATATCCAACATTCAGCCCACAGCAGTTCAGCCTGGGTGGGTACATTACTGTTAGCTACATTAGCTTCAAAGCTCCAGAGCTAAAACTAAAGAAGTTTCAGACACGAAAGACGAAGCTGTTTCACTCACATTCATTCTGCTTTCTTTCTATTTCTCTTTCTCTGACCACTGCACCAGCCACTCCATCTTTCCTCTCTTTCTCTCACACTCCTTTCCTCCTCTGTTTTGATGTCTCTCTCTCTTTTCTCTCTCTTTTCCACCTCTTCATTTTCTTCCACCAAGTCCTGCTTTCATTCTCAACAGATCAGCCATGAAGAAAATGTGCCACTGCAAGAAATAAGGTTCTCTTCATCCATCCCTCTCTCCTTTTCTCGCACCATCCATCCATCCATCCATCCATCCATCCATCCCTCTCTCCTTTTCTCACACCATCCATCCATCCATCCATCCATCCATCCATCCCTCTCTCCTTTTCTCACACCATCTATCCATCCATCCATCCATCCATCCATCCGTTTTCCTTAACTAACAGTATGTGTTTGTGTTTGTGTGTCCTGTTCTGGCTGATTTGCTCAGTTATGTTTTTGAAAAGTTACTTATTAAAGTTGTTTCTCTCCCTCCTTCCCCCCTTTCGCTTACCGAATCACTCACTCCTCTCCTCTTTTGTTTAACTCTCTTTTTCTTTTGTCTATTTTATTTATCATTTTTTTTACTTTTCCTTATTATTCTCTTTTCTCCCTCCTCTCCTCTCTCCTGATGGTAGTGTCTCTTTCTTTCTTTTTCCTCTAACCTGGTTTTGGTTCGCCCTGATCCCCCCCTCAGGCATGCCAAAATGGTTTTGCTCAACACTTAGAGCATCTGCTGTTCTATGGAGCGGACACCACTTCCCAGAATGCATCAGGAAACACAGCGCTGCACATAAGCGCTCTGTACAATAAGGTAAACAGACACAGTTTAGAAACACAGTTAAAGAGTAGAATTGCACGGTGGTGTTTTAGGGCCACTGTTAATAAAATTAAAAATAATAGACTTTGAGAAAAAAGTCGAAATATTTCAAGAAAAAAGGCGTTCTATTTCGAGGATAAAGTCGTAATATTTGGAGGATAAAGTCGTAATATTTGGAGGATAAAGTCGAAATATTTTGAGAATAAAGTCATAATATTTGGAGGATAAAGTCGTAATATTTGGAGAATAAAGTCATAATATTTGGAGGATAAAGTCGTAATATTTGGAGGATAAAGTCGTAATATTTTGAGAATAAAGTCGTAATATTTCGAGGATAAAGTCGTAATATTTCGAGAATAAAGTCGTAATGTCTGGAGGATAAACTCGTAATATTTGGAGGATAAAGTCGTAATGTCTGGAGGATAAAGTCGTAATGTCTGGAGGATAAAGTCGTAATGTCTGGAGGATAAAGTCGTAATATTTGGAGGATAAAGTCGTAATATTTGGAGGATAAAGTCGTAATATTTCAAGAATAAAGCCGTAATATTTGGAGGATAAAGTCGTAATATTTGGAGAATAAAGTCGTAATATTTCAAGAATAAAGCCGTAATATTTGGAGGATAAAGTCGTAATATTTGGAGGATAAAGTTGTAATATTTCAAGAATAAAGCCGTAATTTTTGGAGGATAAAGTCGTAATATTTGGAGGATAAAGTCGTAGAATTTCAAGAATAAAGTTGTAATATTTCGAGAATAAAGCCGTAATATTTGGAGGATAAAGTCGTAATATTTCGAGAATAAAGTTGTAATATTTTGAGAATAAAGTTGTAATATTTGGAGAATAAAGCCGTAATATTTCGAGGATAAAGTTGTAATATTTCGAGAATAAAATTGTAATATTTGGAGAATAAAGTCGTAATATTTCAAGAATAAAATCGTAATATTTCGAGGATAAAGTTGTAATATTTCGAGAATAAAGCCGTAATATTTGGAGGATAAAGTCGTAATGTCTGGAGGATAAACTCGTAATATTTGGAGGATAAAGTCATAATGTCTGGAGGATAAACTCGTAATATTTGGAGAATAAAGTCGTAATGTCTGGAGGATAAACTCGTAATATTTGGAGGATAAAGTCATAATGTCTGGAGGATAAACTCGTAATATTTGGCGGATAAAGTCGTAATGTCTGGAGGATAAAGTCATAATATTTGGAGGATAAAGTCGTAATATTTGGAGGATAAAGTCATAATATTTGGAGGATAAAGCCGTAATATTTGGAGGATAAAGTCGTAATATTTGGAGAATAAAGCCGTAATATTTGGAGGATAAAGTCGTAATATTTGGAGGATAAAGTCGTAATATTTGGAGGATAAAGTCGTAATATTTCAAGAATAAAGCTGTAATTTTTGGAGGATAAAGTCGTAATATTTGGAGGATAAAGCCGTAATATTTGGAGGATAAACTCATAATATTTGGAGGATAAAGTCGTAATATTTGTAGGATAAAGTCGTAATATTTCAAGAATAAAGCTGTAATTTTTGGAGGATAAAGTCGTAGAATTTGGAGGATAAAGTCGTAGAATTTCAAGAATAAAGTTGTAATATTTGGAGAATAAAGCCGTAATATTTGGAGGATAAAGTCGTAATATTTGGAGAATAAAGCCGTAATATTTGGAGGATAAACTCGTAATATTTGGAGGATAAAGTCGTAATATTTGGAGGATAAAGTCGTAATATTTCAAGAATAAAGCTGTAATTTTTGGAGGATAAAGTCGTAATATTTGGAGAATAAAGCCGTAATATTTGGAGGATAAACTCATAATATTTGGAGGATAAAGTCGTAATATTTGTAGGATAAAGTCGTAATATTTCAAGAATAAAGCTGTAATTTTTGGAGGATAAAGTCGTAGAATTTGGAGGATAAAGTCGTAGAATTTCAAGAATAAAGTTGTAATATTTGGAGAATAAAGCCGTAATATTTGGAGGATAAAGTCGTAATATTTCGAGAATAAAGTTGTAATATTTGGAGAATAAAGCCGTAATATTTGGAGGATAAAGTCGTAATATTTCAAGAATAAAGCTGTAATTTTTGGAGGATAAAGTCATAATTTTTGGAGGATAAAGTCGTAATATTTGGAGGATAAAGTCGTACAATTTCAAGAATAAAGTTGTAATATTTCGAGAATAAAGCCGTAATATTTGGAGAATAAAGCCGTAATATTTTGAGAATAAAGTCGTAATATTTGGAGGATAAAGTGGTCTAACTGTAGGGGGCTGCCATAACGCGTTGGGGTCTCAGTTGCTGTACTGTACGGAGGTTAAAGATAGGAGGGCTAACTGTAGGGGGGCTGCCATAACGCGTCGGGGTCTCAGTTGCTGTACTGTAGGGGGGCTGCCATAACGCGTCGGGGTCTCGGTTGCTGTACTGTAGGGGGGCTGCCATAACGCGTCGGTGTCTCGGTTGCTGTACTGTAGGGGGGCTGCCATAACACGTCGGGGTCTCGGTTGCTGTACTGTAGGGGGGCTGCCATAACACGTCAGGGTCTCGGTTGCTGTACTGTAGGGGGGCTGCCATAATGCGTTGGGGTCTCGGTTGCTGTACTGTAGGGGTCTGCCATAACGCGTTGGGGTCTCGGTTGCTGTACTGTAGGGGGGCTGCCATAACGCGTTGGGGTCTCGGTTGCTGTACTGTAGGGGGGCTGCCATAACGCGTTGGGGTCTCGGTTGCTGTACTGGCGCTGGAGCTCCACTCACTCCTGTCTCTCTGTGGATCATTTTGATCATCATTCTCATTGTCAGTGAAACTTCATGCCCTCTTTGAATGGGGGGAGATGGAGCCCCCGATAGCCGTGTAGACGACCCTGCTTGAGATTCTCCTTCAACAACACAGACAGACAGTTTCCTCCGAGTCCGTCTGGCTCTTTATTCTAGATAAACACGGTTTCCTGCTCAGCCGTTTCAGCCGGTTCTTATCCTAATAACAGGCTGGTGCTGATGAGCAGGAGAGACAGGGAGACTGAGTGTTTCTTTATGGGTGAATCGATATGAAAGAAACTCCACCAACTCAGCGCCCCTCATTTAACACCAGGAGGCGCTGCTTCCCTTCACAAAGGCTTTGGCCACAATATTACGATCTTTCCTGGTATTAATGCTGCTTTAATGTCGTAATTCTACAACTTTGTTTTCTCAAAATATTACGACTTTATTCTCAAAGTCTATTATTTTTATTTTTCTTAACAGTGGCCCTAAAACGCCGTCGTAAGAATTGTCTTCTATTTAAATAGGCGTTTGATTCAGTCTACAGCAGTTTAGCTCCACCATTCAGTCTACAGCAGTTTAGCCCCACCCATTCAGTCTACAGCAGTTTAGCTCCACCCATTCAATCTACAGCAGTTTAGCCCCACCCATTCAGTCTACAGCAGTTTAGCCCCACCCATTCAGTCTACAGCAGTTTAGCCCCACCCATTCAGTCTACAGCAGTTTAGCTCCACCATTCAGTCTACAGCAGTTTAGCCCCACCCATTCAGCTACAGCAGTTTAGCCCCACCCATTCAGCTACAGCAGTTTAGCCCCACCCATTCAGCTACAGCAGTTTAGCTCCACCATTCAGCTACAGCAGTTTAGCTCCACCATTCAGCCACAGCAGTTTAGCTCCACCATTCAGCTACAGCAGTTTAGCTCCACCCAACTACTGGCAGAGTACTGAGTGTGCTGTAGCACCCCTTAGAGGTAGAGAGTGAAACAGGAAATTAGTTTTTTCGGGTTGTTGTTTCATTTAGCTAGTCGATTGATTATTCTGTAATAATATATAAAAACAACATTAACTTAAATGTATTAATGATTATTTTTTAACAGTTTTTTTATTTGAGAATTGAAAATCATAGGAAGAGTTTTATACTTTTGAAAGGTAAATTCTGTGTTGATGCCTGGTTGCTCAGTGAGTCTCCTGTGATGTGTCCTGCAGGGTTGAGGTGTTTAGATACTCTGGTAGATTTAATAGCTAATACCTGGTGGGTGTTGATGTTTCTGAACATTTTCCATCATGTGGCTGTATTTGATAGTTACTTGGTCCCACTTCTTTTACTGAATGTTGTGGGTTTTGTGCTCCACAAATAAAACATGGCGTGTTTAATTTGTTATGTGCAGTGCTTTAAGCCAGGTGAGTCACTTTCGCTTGTTACTGTAGTAAAGCTCAGCTCAGTGCACTGCAAACTGACATATTTCTGTCCAATCAGGAGAGCTGCGTCCGAGTCCTCCTCTACAGGGGAGCCAATAAAGAGATAAAGAACAAGCATGGCCAAACCCCCTTTCAGGTAACACGGTCTTCAGTACAGCGCTGAAGCACTGATAACTATTACAGGAACTAAAAAACAAAACAGATATTTTACATTGTCTGTTTCTTCTCAGGTGGCTGTGATGTCCGGCCATTTTGAACTTGGAGAGATCATTAAAAATCATAAAGACACAGATGTAGGTAAGTCTGTTCAATTAGATACGTATACTAATGAGGTGGCCAGTGAATGAAAGTACAAGGTACGTGTTTCTAATAAAGTGGCCAGTGAATGGAAGTACATAGTAGGCATTTCTAATAAAGTGGCCAGTGAGTGGAAGCACAAGGTGGGTGTTTCTAATAAAGTGGTCAGTGAGTGGAAGCACAAGGTGGGTGTTTCTAATAAAGTGGCCAGTGAGTGGAAGCACAAGGTAGGTGTTTCTAATAAAGTGGCCAGTGAATGGAAGTACAAGGTAGGTGTTTCTAATAAAGTGGCCAGTGAGTGGAAGCACAAGGTGGGTGTTTCTAATAAAGTGGCCAGCGAGTGGAAGTACAAAGTAGGTGTTTCTAATAAAGTGGCCAGTTATTGGAAGCACCAGGGATTAATAAGTAGTTTGTGATTAATGTTTAATGTAAATCTACTAATATCAACATGCTTGTTGTCTTGTTCTTTCTTTCAATCAGTTCCGTTTTTGGAGTCTCCCAAATATGCTCCTCAGCGAGTTGAGAGTGGGCGGATTCTACCTGTGTCTATGGCCCTCCCCCACCCCCACCCACTCTTACGAGCCAAGAGTGAGAATACCATGGCCACGTCCTCTGACATCGTAGCTCCACCCATCACTGCACCTGTACAGGTAGAGCTCTGTCCCTCACTTATTACAATCACACTTAAGGGTTGAAGGGGTGATTTTAGGGATGCAGATGTTTGAGCGTAGTAGCCCAGCATCTCCTGCTTACCCAGCACATTCTGTAAACCACATATCGACTGTCTGTCTCTGTCTCTCTCTCTCTCTCTCTCTCTCTCTCTCTCTCTCTCTCTCTTTCTCTCTCTCTCCCCCCCACTCACTGTCTCTATCTCTCTCTCCCCCCCCACTCTCTCTCTCTCGCTAAGGGTCAGCGTCGGGCATCTTTTGCACTCAGGAGCTCCAGTAGTCCTCGCGGGGCCAGAACCCGGTCTCCATCCCGGGGGAGAGTGGGGGAGCCTGAGAGTAAACAGCAGAAACAGCGCGGTAGGCAGGGGTAAGACCCATATACAGCCTCTCTAATACAGTATTCCTACTACAATCTCTCTGATACAGTCTCTCTAACACAATCTCTCTAATACAGTATTCATAATACAGCCTCTCTAATACAGTATTCCTACTACAATCTCTCTGATACAGTCTCTCTAACACAATCTCTCTAATACAGTATTCATAATACAGCCTCTCTAATACAGTATTCCTACTACAGTCTCTCTGATACAGTCTCTCTAGCACAATCTCTCTAATACGGTATTCATAATACAGCCTCTCTAATACAGTATTCCTACTACAGTCTCTCTGATACAGTCTCTCTAGCACAATCTCTCTAATACGGTATTCATAATACAGCCTCTCTAATACAGTATTCCTACTACAATCTCTCTGATACAGTCTCTCTAACACAATCTCTCTAATACGGTATTCATAATACAGCCTCTCTAATACAGTATTCCTACTACAATCTCTCTGATACAGTCTCTCTAACACAATCTCTCTAATACAGTATTCCTGATACAGTCTCTCTAATAGTTTCTCTAAAACAGTATTTCTAACAGTCTCTAATACAGTTCTTCTAAAACAGTATTCCTTGTAGTCTCTCTAACACAGTATTCCTAATATAGTCTCTCTGATACAGCATCCATACTGCAGTCTCTCTAATAAAGTCTCTCTAATACGGTATCCCTAATACAGTCTCTCTAATACAGTATCCATGATGCAGTCTCTCTAATACAGTATCCATGATGCAGTCTCTCTAAAACAGTCTCTCTAATACAGTATTCCTAATACCGTCTCTCTAATACAGTGTTCCTAACACAGTCTCTCTAATATAGTCTCTCTATTACATTGTTCCTAACCCTAATGTAGTCTCTCTACTACAGTCTTACTATACAGTATACAGTATTTCTAGACTCTAGAATAGAATATTCCTAAAGCAGTCTCTATTACAGTCTCTCTGGTACAATCCATGTCATTATATCTCTATCATGGTCTCCCTGTACAGTCTGTTAGTCTCTTTTATAGTCTCTCTGTTATGATCTGTCTGTTGCAGTTCCTCTTTTAGTCTCTCATTTACAGTGTCCCTGTTACAGTCTTCCTGTTACTGTCTCTCTGGTACAGTCTTTGTTTCAGTCTTTCTGTTAAAGAATCTCATCTACATTCTTCGATTACATTATTCCTTTTAGACTCTTATATTCCGTTTATTACAGTGTCTGTACTACAGTCTCTTTGTTACAGTCTCTCTCTTGTAGTCTCTGTTACTGTCTCCACAAGAGTCTCTCTATTAGAGTCTCTGTTATGGTCTCTCTGTTACAGTATGTTACAGTCTCTCTGTTAGAGTGCCTGTTACAGACTGCATCCCTATCTTTGTTACAGTCTTTTTACAGTCTCTCTGATACTGACTCAATGATAGTCTTACGGTTAGAGTCTCTCTGTTACAGGATCTGTTACAGTCTTCCTTTTACAGTCTTGGTGTCAGTCTTTGTTACCATCTTTATTTCTGTCTCTCTGTTACAGTCTTGCTGTTACAGTCTCTCTGTTACAGATGCAGTAAAAGAGCAATATGAATGAGATCTTATAAAACAGATGATGTGTTTATGTATCAATAAATCTTCATTGGAGTGTTGGATTTTAAAATGAATCTCAGTTAATCTATTTTGTGTGGTTTAAAATGTAAAAAATACATTATTTCACTACATGTATCAGTTGTAATTGTGTATATAGTACATTTCACTATGTACTGTAAATTATTTTAGGCTGGCTAATGCAAGCTGGCGTTATTACTGTTAGTACATTATTAATATGCTATGCTTATTTTAGGATATTTAGGAATGTTACTGTTTTAAAAAGTTCAGGATAAAGGAATTTTTCAGAGTTAGAAAATGCAAAGATTTCTTCTTTTAGTCTATTTTTGGCAAATAAAATATCCAAGACATTCATGTAGCTCCAATAACAAAAGAGAAAGCATATCTCTGTCCAAAACTGACCACATAACCTTTTTTCGCTGGGCAGCCAGCTGTTTCCTCTACTTGTTCTGAGGTCACTTAGTCTCCTTCTGCTTATTATCTCTGACCAAGAAGAGATATGAGGCCAATTTGCCTCAAGCTTTGGGAACAAATTCATTTGTTTTGCCGTTTTGTATTATTGTCGTAATGTTCCAGATAAGAACAGTGTATCTGTTTCATAACATGACGAGGAACAAATTGTCTAGCAGGATGTTTTTCAGATGGTAGGTGATGAGTGAGCGCTGAGACCAACTGCTTTTCTTTCAGCATTTCTGAAGTGGCTGAGGAAATATGAAGTTGGAGCCCCCTCAACCCCCAAATACATATACAAATGTTTTTGTTATGGAATTTATTATACTGCTTATCTGATAATACATTACAGATAATGTGTACAAAATTGCAGTGCTATTGAACAGAATAGTGCTGATGGAATAGATCAGTCTTTGCATCTTCTTCACTGTACGGCTCTTTTACTGTCCTGTTGTGGCTCCACAGCAGAATCAGATTTGTAGGTAAAAATAAAATAATCCTCCTTTACAGTAAAATAAAGCTCTGCTGATCGTTCAACACAGTTTAACAGTAAATGGTCTTAAACTCTGGAGTTAATGTAGAACTGCTAATTCACCCTTTAACCCTGAAGATCAGCGCAGACTGCTGGTCACCATAGCAACACAGACAACAATCTCGCCTAGCTAGTAGCTAACGAAACAGCAAAGATAGAGATTTAAGATGAACATCGATAATTTGGAGACGAATGGATGTATTTACATTTATAATCACTCCAGCTGGTTTCCTGAAACGTTTAATCTGCAGTGAGAAACTGAAACACTAAATAGTCGCAAAGCTGAAGTCAGTTTCTCATTCGCCAGCTTCTCTTTCAGATTTTCCTGTTCCACCTTAAATGACGCAGAAGCTACATTCTGGCGCCTGAGGCACCATTTAAGGTGGAATGGGAAAATTAGAACAAGAAGCTGGAGAATGAGAGGCGACTTCAGTCTTGTAAAAAGTCAAATGTTGAGAGACATTTTACAAGAAACTGTTCCACTTTTGTGGAAACGTTTTCTGCTGGAGATGCGAGAAAAGCAGCTATAGCTGAGCTAAAGCCTAAAGCAGAACAAAGTGAGTCTGAATTTTTTGGCCTATAGGACATTAACACATACTGAGACATATTTACAGCCAAGATGGTAAAATGTTACTTCAGTAAAATGGACATAAAATATTGTGGCTCCCAAAGGACAGAATGGCTCTTCTTAACATTTAGGTTGCCGATCCTCTCCTTATGGAGTCATTGAAATGTGTGTCACGGAAGACTGAAGGCTAAATTTCCCATCCAAGCTGGAACGTCAATGCTGTACCTGTAATAGTCCAGTATACCATTAAGAGCCCTTGGGCAACATGCTAGAGGTGCAACGATTCAGTGTGTTGTATTATATCATTCAAGACAAAGAACTCAATTTAATATACACAAAAATGAATTAACCAAGCCCACCAGAGGGCAGATCACACCACTGACAAGATTGTTTCGTTTTACCCCAGATTTAAATACAGCAGGGAAAAGCATGGTTTACATAAACATATCGTCCCCTTGGAATTATAAGGTTCTATCTGTGTTCTGAGCAGTTTTAAGATATTGAGCTTCAAAGATTTTGCACTCCAAATAGCAAAACTGGAACATGTATGTCTCACACATGATGACATCCTCATAAATGACATTTATTCTAAATGTACAAAATCAAAATCCTGTCAAATTTGTAAATGAGTTTTTGGAACAGGTCAAATACAGATAGAACCTTCTAATCCTGAAATCCCACTTTCTGCTTGGAATTATAAGGTTCTATCTGACAAAACATGAAAAGAAGCAACGATTTTCAAGGAACACAAAGAGTTTATACTTGTAATTTGTTTTAAAACATAAAATTAGTGTAACAGACTATCTACATTATCAGAATGTTAAGTGTTATGCTCTCTATGACATTTTTAAGAAAGCTATTTTTATTATTTATTTATTTTTAGGACTTTTATTTCTTGTTTTAGGAACAATCACCTTTTCTTATTCAAAAAAGCATTGACTGATACATTAAGTATAAAGGTCAGTGCTAAATATTTTGTCCAGTACAGAGGTCAGTTTTAGGGAGGAACCATTAGTTTAAGTGTCCTGTAGGTTAGACACCAGCTACTGTAATAAACTGTCCCAGCAGGTCAGTGTAGCAAAAGGCCGTGTGAGGTTTTGTTTTATATCAGAAATGTCTTATTTTGGGAGAAAGAAGGAAAAAAAGATGGATGAATGAATGAAGTCGATGTTTATATGTTAATTAAGACCCCATTAGTTGTTTACGATGGAGTGTTTACTATTTAATTTCCTTTAAGTCTTAAGATTTATAACATTTCCTGTTTTATAAACTCTCCGCGCAGTCACTGAGCAGAGCAGCGACATGACAAAGAAGCAGAACCTGATTGGTCTTCTTGTGTATGTTCGAAGTGCTGACTGGCTCACAGATAGAACCTTATAGAACTAAGTTTGACTTTGGAGATAGAATCTTTCTGTTTTCTAGATAAAGAGTCCAAAAATGCATGCAATAAAAAAAAAACACCACATAATGTTAAGAAGTTGTCACTGAATATGAATATGTGAAAACTCAATGTTGACAAACATGTCAGATACTGCCTACTATATATATTAACTCATGGTCAGTGTGGTAGCTCAGGGCTTATGTTTCAGCTTGTGGCTAGCATGTTAGCTTGGGGCTGTGTTGAAAAATGCATTGATTCCAGACGTTGTATTGACCCGAATTATGAATTGTGAATTGCTGCCTGTACAGCACCCCCAGCACTACATCCACCTGCGCTCATTTACCAAATATGGACATGTCTCTCTGCAGGGGTGGTGGGGGTCAGAGGAGAAGGCTGTACAGTGCAGTTCCTGGACGCGTGTTTGTAGCGACGCGATCACATTCCGCTCAGGGAGAGCGCGAGATCAGCCTCAGCAAGGGAGACAAGGTCAAAGGTCAGATCGGTTCATGCTCTACAGCGCTGTAGCATATGCTACCTGTTATTAACACCACTTTCCATTACTTCTCCTCTCTCTCTCTCTCTCTCTCAGTGCTGAGTGTTGGAGAGGGAGGGTTTTGGGAGGGAACAGTTAAAGGTCGCACTGGCTGGTTCCCTTCAGAATGTGTAGAGGAGGTTCTGCCCCAGAACCAGGAACCAAGACCAGGTACACATTCACACCTTTTCTCGCTCTAAAGCCATGGTCAGACTGAACATCAGTAAAATTTGCTTGGTGAAGAGCTAAACCACAATGGGAATGGACATGGGAACACGGAAAGGGCATTAGCTTCTGGTAGCGGTTAATTCCATGTGATCCATGTGTTCCATAGGTGAACTGCAACATGTAAAGTTTACAGGCATGAGCCAATGGAAGACAAGAGGGAGGGCTATGGTCTCTGACTTGTGATCTGTTTAGCAGTCAAGTTAATGTCACTTTTCACTCACAGTTGCAATCACAAACTAGCATGCTGGCTAACATTAGCTTACCCCTGAACGATATGTTCCCTCCAAAGTCAATTCACAGCAGGACTGCCCAAAGTTGCATGATTTTCGCTCTGCAATGCCAACGAAAGTAGCGAGGCAAAAGGCCCGTGTTACCATGGCTTTATTACAAGTGCAATGCAATACAATAGTCTCTTAAAAGTGAGTTAGTAAGTACTAACTTACCCTCATTTCATCTTTTATATATTTGCTCTCATACGCTTTGTTTCAGAGAGTCGCAGTGAGAAGGCTAAGAGGAAGTTATTCCGCCATTACACTGTAGGAACATACGACGGGCTGGAGATACCCAGGTAGGGCTTTACCCACACAAGACTGATGTCTGCACCTACTAAATGTACGCAAACAAGCTTTGGAATATTCCAGTCAGTGTTTGGGACTCAGACACAGCTGCTGTTATTGTTTGCTATCCAGTGTCGACCAGAGGAGGATGGGTTTCCCTTTTGAGTCTTGGTTCCTCTCAGTATTTCTTCCTCTTGCTCTTAGGGAGTTTTTCTTTGCCACTGTTGCCATTGGTGCGAACACGGAAAGGGCACTGGGGGCTTGGACCCAGATTTTTCTCTGTAAAGCTGCTTTGTGACAACACCTGTTGTAAAAAGCACTATGTAAATAAACTTTGACTTGACTTGACTTGACATACATACACAAACCCCTCACAATGATTCCCACCTCAATACATCATCATCTTTGACAGTAACTCAAGGTTGAATATGAAGGTCCTCTTGATGAGGTTCAATGTCCTCTTCAATGGGTTTTGGAATGGCTGAAGAGGCCGGTCCATGGCCATGTTTAATCATGGTGGTGGCAATACAGCCAAGAGTTGCTTTCTTAAAATGAACCCTAGGCTAAATTTGCATAATTATTTGGTATCTTCATTTATTAAAATGACAAAGTATTTACATGAGTCATACATGCATATTGTTATTTTCAGGGACCCATAGGCTATTCAGATATGACATCATTTGAGATATAAATCCTATCAGAATTGTAATCTCTTTATGAATTTTAACCAAAAATTTACTTAGCACCTCCTAAAGTTTTGCACATGCAGACTATCAAAAAATTAGAGATTTTGTTGGAAATTGCTAGACTACAGTGTCTGTGGGCTAAAAGTAAAATAATTTCGATTATGGGTCTTTATTTGGCATAATACTTTGGAAGAAATATATGATTAGCAGCCAACTTTTTTATTGACTTTCTCCTGATTTGGATCCATGAGGAACACTAAAACTCTGATAGCCAGCAAGGTAGGCCTTGGTATATTTACCTCAGGGCCAAGATGAGTATTTTTGAAATAATTTTAAACCACTATTGTTAGAGAGCACAAGTCATACCGATTGCCATGATGGGTGTATCATGTCTGTAAGTTATGCTGTTTCTGAGTTGTGAAGCCTGAAAAGAGCAGACTACCTGCAAAGTGCAGGATCAGGGTTAAGCACACTGATATTGTATGGCTGTTCTTCCAGTGGATATACAGAATTTTCTGAAGATATCTCTGGTGTGTTTCCAGGGCTCCAACGTGTCTATGGTAAGTTACCCAGCATCTTATTGCTCATACAGTAGGGTGAAAAGAACCACTGCCTTGGTTTTCACCTAGATGTCAACATCTTCAAAGATTCTACTTATAAGATCATGATGATTGCCCCTCTGGCACAGCTGATCAGTATTTCTTAATCAATGTTGGCTTAGAAGGTGAGAGGTCTGCTAAGGCAGGAAAGGTGATCCACATAGACAAGTGCTGTCTAGAGGTGCCTGGAAGCCTCTAGAGTCTCCACAGTTAGGCCAACAAGCTACTTTATTCTAAATACATCAAGAACGTACTGCAGATTTTGCTTTGACCAAGCAAATACAGTTTTTCTGTACTGAAGATCCATGATGGATTTGTTGGAAACTTTTTCAGAAACAAAACTTGTTTTTGTTTCTGAATCTGCTGAGGTTAAAGAGGGGGAAGCAGAAAAAGCTCAGATGCCTTAGAACCAATCCTCTGAACCTTGGAGAGACCCAACAACTCTTCCAAATGACCCTAGGTGAAGTGGTCCCTTCACAGTCTCCTAAGGAATTCTGAGATTCTTGAGGTTGTCAACAAACTCAAGGTAGGCCTTGGAATATTTGGAACCTTGAGGTTGTTGAGGTTGTTTGAATACCAGGTGGCAGGTGTTTTACCAACGAGTTGGGGAAGACTGTGAAGAAGATATTGAACAGTGTGGTTATTTATGCTTCAATTTTTACTCCCTCAGCCACTGATTGACACTGGCCTTGGCTCTGGGATGTTCACTGTTTTTGCCTCGGCAAATAGTATCACTTTGCCAGACACAGACGGCTTCCCATTTGTGGCAGTGACTTGTTCGATTTCTTTGTCACAAGCTGAGTTCCAAAGCCCAGGCTGCAGCTCAATCCTATGAAGACTCCTCCTTAGTAGCCTATTGGTCACACAAATGGAACAGCACTAACGAGGGTGCATGGTGACGCCACCAGAGTGGCACAAAGCTTGTGAGGGAACTAGTGAGAGAAAATTGAGCCGCTGCATTGAGGTTGTTGCTTTTTCATTTCTTCACGGAAATGGAGAGATGATCTTATGTAGTACAATACACTACATGCACACAAATACTTCTAAATAAAATGATATATGGACGATATTTGATATATGGACTAATTGTTTAATTAATCAATCATTTTACGGTTTATAAAGTAACAAAGACGAATTCAAGGACGTGAACAACTTACATTTTAAAACAAGCTCTGCTCCAACGGCATTTTCTGCCATTTTTGTGGTGCTGTTTTTTTTTTCTTCTTCTTCGCATCATTTATGTGCAGAAAATTGTGGGTAACTGAACACCTGGAGAGATACATCTATGCAGTATACCTCGGCTGCAGCCTAGGCTTTGGAACGCACCTGTAGTTGTCAAACCAGTCCTGATCTTTCTTATTCTTGTAGCTCATGACTCTGCGGTTGGTGTGTAGTATGGTCTACCGGTAACACTTTCTATGAATGTCACCTTTGTAAGCATCTATAAACACATTCATAACATGTTATAATGCATTCATAAGACATTATAAACACAGCTATAAATATTTATAAAAATGCATTATACGTTATAGCCATGTTTATTATGCATTATGAATTGTTAACATAATACATTATAAGTACTGATCATAACAAATTATAAGAGCTCATAAGTCGTATTTGTCCACTCTAAGTAAAGTGAAGCGTACTGTACTAAAGCCTCCTCCAGTGTTAAGAATGAGGCTTCAAGTTGAAGTATTTACTGAAGGATTTACTGAAACACTAAAATATACCCAATAAAGCACATTACAGGCTTCAAATGTCAGAGTTTAAACTAGAGCTGCCATCAGTGTTTTACCCAATGTGGGAAAGGTAATGTACACCACCGTTAGCTTGGTATTTGTCTTTACTTTGCGCTCTCTAAGCTGGACTGACTTCTTTGGCACTGACAGTATAACATGTTATCGGCACTACTTATAATGCATTATATTAACAATTCATAATGTATAATAAACATGGCTATAAAGTGTAATTCAGTGTAATTCTTTTTTATAAATATTTGTGACCATGTTTATAATGCCTTATGAATACATTATAACAATGTTACAAACATGACATTCATAGAAAGTGTTACCGGTCTACCTCAACAACTTCAGAGTACCTTAGGAGACTGTGAGGGGACAGCTTTACCTAGGGTTTTTGGAAGCATTGTTGGGTCTCTCCAAGGTTCAGAGAATTGGTCCTAAAGCAACTGAGCCTCTTCTGCTTCTCCCTCTAATACATCAGGATGTCTTGAAGTGTTTGTCTGAACGGGGTTTTGGAGATGACAACACTCTGTTTGACACATTTAGTCAGGACGAAGTATCAACTAGAGTCGATGTTACCTTTCTATCCCGCTTTTAGGGATATCTATGCAAACATGGTCCCGGATGATGTACAAGGCCTCCTTTTCTTCTTGTGAGTCCAATGTCCAAAGTGACCATCTTGTTATTCTCCAATAGTCAGAGATTTCTTGACTACTAAGGTGGTTAACAATGTTTTAATGGCAAAATGCCTTCTTTAGTTATTATGCACCAGTTTTCCATTTCAAAAGAAGTTGTACCCACCCTTCTCCTCTACTACTGCCCTTGTTCTGCAAGTCTGATGTCAGGCTCTAAAATAAATTTTCTGTGACTTCTGAATGCATGAAGAAGGTCTCACTGGATGTGTCAGGGGTTTGGCAGTCAAGCTTTATTTTTAGGTCACATATTCCAGCCTTTCCCCACTGGAGTGATCAGACTGAATCTTAAATAGGACGGGTTAGACATGGGTGCAGTTACAGAGAGGTCTTTCTGCCATAGTTTAAGAAAAATACTGTCTCTGAGCCAGGTCATGGCTAGGGGCTCCCAGACAATCTCTGTCTTGCTCTTTTCACCATTTGCTGGTTGGGAGTGGTCTGACATCTGACAGCAGGACTCCATTGGGGGTCTTCCTCTGTTTTACACATTCCTCTGTTACACCAATGAGGGGTTATTTCTATGGATCATGCTTCATCTGAAACTTGACCACCTCAGGTATGCCTGTCTGGAGTAAATCTCCAGACAGCCTCATTCTCAGGATCACCATCAAAAGGTGGCAAAATCTAGGCTTCAAGATGGGTACTGCTGTTTTCTTACCACGAGAGTAAAACGCACAGGGATGGAGCTTCTTGGCTGGGCCTAGGTGTTGGGAGAGTACTGCTCCCACATCCACATCTAAAGCATCTACCTCGACGATAAACGGTTCCTCAGGATAGGGTAGCTGGAGGACCGTGTGGGGGGCATTAGCCATGCCTTGATTTCTTCAAAGGTCTCTTGGGCCTTGGCAGTCCAATAGAATGGACCTGGGGTCTTCCGGGTGAGGGGAGCCACCACAGAACTACCAGCTACTACAGAAGGACCAACTGGAGAGAGGTAGGGCGGGGTCAGTCCATCACGGCCTTGATCTTGGCCGAATCCATGCTAAGGGTGCCTTTAGACACCACAAAGCCCAGGAATGAAACTGTTCAGGCATGGAACTCTGGCTTCTCCACTTTAACGTACAGGCGGTTCTCCAGTAACAGCTGGAGATCCTGTCTGACATGCCTGATGTGTTCCTCAAGGGACTGGCTGTAAATATGTATATCATCGATGTAGACGTACATAGTGACCCAAGGTCTCCCTCAGCACATCTTTTAGGAAGTGCTGGAAGATGGTTGGGGCGTTAATGAGCCCAAATGGCATTACCAGATACTCATAATGCCCAATGGGGGTGATGAACACTGTCTTCCAT